TATTCCTCCAGAGTTGTGATAGCTTGGTCACAGAGCCATACTTACCCTAGGATGATTGCAGGTGACTTTTTGTCTAACATGGCAGCAGCCTTCTCTGGTCTGGGTGCTGTGAGGGAAGATTAGTGAAAACATCCTTGACGATTGATGCAATCTCGGTAAATTCCAGGGCCAAACATCCCTCCCCTGGAATTCTGTTGCATCATCATATCATTGAGGGTGACTCAGTCAGATTAGCCTTGTGCACACGAGGAATGTAAGAGAATGACTGTAAGTGTCAAGGTAGCGTGCGTGCTTCAATGCTTGTCTAATTTCCGATAATCAAACATCATGTATCGAAATGTTTCACTTCCTTGTATCACCTTGACATTTTCTTGTAATTAATTATAATAATATTAAGAATAATGTTATTATTGATTACGAAAAGCCAAATACCAATTGTTTACATCTTGATGAGAATCTTATGATTACCCAGCAAGATCTGCTCCGTGCTTTGATTTAAATGACATATCAATGCAAATTAAAAAAAAGTTACCTCTAGTTGATTATTAACATGTTTCTTTTTAGAGCCCAATCATGCCAAATAACATCACTCACGTTTTGTCATCTGTCAAAAAATAAATTGTTTTTCCAAAAAAAATCAATCGCGTCTGTCCTACCAAAAAAAAACCAATTGGATAAATAATTAATGTGTACGCATCGATCAAATCACTAAATTTTTTTTTCTTTATTTTTTTCTGCAAAAATGCCATGTAATAAAATTAATAATAAAAGAAGTCGCGAAGACCATCATAACCAAGAGAATATTCACGGGTAAGTGTTGTTTATTGTAAAAATGGTGGTGGTGGTTATCGCCGCTCGGCACTATACTATATAGTTGTTTTTTTTAAAAAATAGTGATTGATATTACAGCAACTCATCATTCTATATATAACTTTACAACATTATATTTAATCAACAAATACCATATAGTAATAATAATGACAGTTTATTTAAAAATCAAAAAGACAAAAAAGAGAACGAATCAATAGAAGCCGAAAATATTCCCATGTAAGGCTGCTTTCAATATCATTTTTAGTAGTTTGGCAATTTGACGATTTAACAATTTATGTGTTAACACTTCTAGTGTTGTTGACAATGAAGTACTTGAATCATTAATGAAAGAAATGATTGTGGGCTCCGTTAAATACATGATTGGCTCGTTTGATGTTGAAAAAGCGTTGGTAGAGTGGAAGGAAAAAAAGGAACGGCCTTGCAATGAGTACGTTTTTAATAATATTGTCATGTATAATTTATATGCGTATTAATATTGACCAACAATTTCTACAATAATAGTTTAGCGTATTATGATATTCTAGATATAACACCAGGAAGCAACGGTAAATTTATAAAAGAACTACCATCTCATATAAAAACCATTATCTTTAATCACGAAAAAAGTCCTTTAATTTTGATAATAATGATATTAAGTCTATGGCATCAGATATGATTAGAGTATATATATAACACTGTCTAACAAAGATTTTTGCTGTTATTTTTAAAAGAAACTCAAAAATAATCTGGTTAACATGTTTCATATATTCATTAGATTAGCGATTTTAAAAGGGCCGTTAATGAATATTTTATATTAACAAGAGAAGATTCTTCCAAAAAATATTTATGGGACTATTCATATTTACTGTAAGTGTATCTATTTGTATTAAAAAAAATTTAGTATCATTATTAAATTATTATTTTTTTTTCCAATAGATTAAATTCAATTGAAAGAGATAATGAATTATTGAAAGATAGTTTATCAGAAAGGCACTACAGAGAATCCTTTTTTACTACAATGATGTCTAGTTTATTTCATGATTATACTCAAGATATGGCAACATTTTAGTAAGTAATCATATGCTATGTTAGAATTTATTTTAAAAGTTGTTCATTGCACTAATGGATAACACCTATTATTTAAGCAGAGAAAAGTGTCTTTTTGCATCAGCAGAAGATTACGGTTTAAAGAAAGATGATAGTGAAACCCAAAGCACTGGACGAAAAATAGACATAGTTTGGTGTATTGAACCAATCAAATTAGAATTTGCCATAGGAGAAATCAGCAGTTCGCCTAATCAGAGGTGTCACTCACATTTCTTTGATGATAAATTAAAAATTGCAAAGATGTTGAAAGTGATGCTTAACAAAATAGTAAGGACATACGGCGGTAATAGTTCCATGCTAAATCATTTAAATTTGTATGGAGTACAAGCTTATAGTAAGTATTTCATCATTAATAGTATTCTTGTTCTGATTTAAAAAAATTTTTTTTCAATGTCATTCTTCAACTATTAACTCTTAAATGAAATTGACAGATCATAATGTATTCCTGTACAAATTATCGATTCTGTACAAAAATCTGTATTTATTTTGAGAAATAAAAAGAATAGCATTACTGACATCGATTATCAATATATCTTTATTAAAAAATTGTTTCGAGTTTTCTGGATCTCAAGGTACAAAAATTACTTTTTTGAAAAAAAAAAACAAAATAAAAATAAATTGAATTTTTACCAATACTTAATTATCACTAGTACTTACTTAATTATCTCCAGTATATTATAAATAAAAGCTGATTAGATATAAACAAATATATACTTGAATCGGGATTGAGAACTCCAGATGATGAGGGTAAATCTAGCCTATTTATCACACCAATGAAACGTAAAAAAATATTATCAACCCAAAATCAAAATAATATGTAATTTGATAATCAGAGAATTAGATGGCAAATTATTTGAAATAAATACTAGATTGAATGGTGAACTATTATGTAAAGGTTGGTTGCTGTGAATTTTTTTGATTAATAAAAACAAAGTTAATAATTCTAATTCAATTTTTTCATTAATTTAAAATTGTTTTATTCAGCAAAAAGTCCTTCTTCTGAATGGTATTACCAACTATATTATTAATAAATAAATAAATAGTTATATATATTAACATTACATTATAATTAGCAAGGATATATATATATAATATTATTTATGTTTAAAGAAAAATTTTCAAACTAAAAAAATTTTTTTTTTAAACATTGACTAAACAAATAAAATGTCCACTGAATTAAAAAAATTTTATTTTACCATTACTGTGTAGATAACGTCGTTTGTTACACACAATTCAAAGGATTACTCTTACCAGTGAGTTTTTTTTTTTTTTTTTTTTTCCTTATAAAATATATAAATATATAATAAATAATATAATATAAAAAATAAAATTAGAACAAATTTGCCTAAACAATAATAATAGAAACTAGTAATCATAACTAAAATCGATTACTGCGATTACTGGTGTTCCTAAGATTAATAGAAATAGCAGTGATCGTTCAGTAGTAAAAATCTAATAACTAATGATTAAATAGATAGAAAGATATTAGAAAGTTAGAAAAACTAATTTTTATTTGCTCTCTCTATGTGTGTGTGTGTGTTTATTTTACATTTATTTCTTAGTAAACTACTCTTACTTAGAGGCTTCTTAGGTAGAGTTAATTAAATTTTTATGGTAGTGAATGAAACTGAAATTAATGCAATTAATACAATAAGTGAAGTGAAAGGATATCTTACTTATAATAGTCAACCATTAGAAGAGAGGAAATAGCCAAGTTTCAAGAGAAATCAGAAAAGTGAGGTAAAAGACAAAAACAAGAGTTGTTAGATAAGATTAGACAACAAGAAGCAGAAATGATTAAATTGACTCAGAAATTGAACAATTGAAAACTTTAGCCCCTCAAGAGTTAGTCAATAAGTTAAATGCTTATGAGGCAGAGAATGAGAAATTAAAGAACCAGTTAGAACAATTACAACAGAATGGTCAACTAACTGCACAAATTGAGGTTAAGGAAACTAAGAAATGACCTTGATTAAAAATAAAAAAGTAATTTTCCTCTGTATAAATTGAAATTCACAAAGAAAATTGTAGTTATTTTTCTTTTAAAGTTTTTTGCTTTTTATTAAGTAATAATACATCATCATGATGCTTTCTTTTTCCAACATTTATTATTTTTCTTTCTTCTTGGTAAATTTCATAAGTAATCCTTTCTTTTCTTAGATAAGCCTCCAGTGTCTGAGTATCATTTATTTTGAAAATATAAGAAGCAATTTTTTCACCCTGTTCTTTCTTCAAAATACTTCTAATGGTAGACCTAATGTAAATTAACTTCATATTAACTATTTTTATATAGAGATAATTCTATATATCACTTAACAAATGGGACATTATAAAACTAATTGTGATGATAATAACTAAATTTTGATCCCTGAAATCTTTGGTAATACCAATGTTCACTTTGTCTGGTTTTGTTGCAGCATGCCCCAAATGTATTATACCATGTGAGGATGAACATGAGCAACATCACTGTGAAAATGAGACATGTCCAATTGAATGTCCAATCTCAGATTGTCAGAGAAGATGCCAAAGTAATGATCATTTTCATGCATATACTCAACTTGCAGTTGATCATTTTTGTGGTAATGATCATCAATGTATTGAGGATTGTGAAGAACCAGGCATTTGTAAAATATTAACAGAACCAAGGAAAGAGGAAGCAACTTATCAAGGGCTGGTTACAGAAACTTCAATTACTTTTACCAAATATATTCAACAATGTGAAAGACTTAAATGCAAGAAAAGAATACCACTAAACTCCTTCAGCCATGAAGGAATACATTCACATGATTCAAGTGCTGAAAGTAAATTTCACTATTGTGATAAAAAATGTGAATTCTGCAAATATTATTGCAAACTAGCCTATGGACACACACAAACTTTGCACGAAACTACTCATGGGAATATGGTACAGACTGTATTCACTTCAGAGGATGATGAATTTGAATATAATCATCATAAATTAAAAATTGGAGATCAAGGTTCTTTTGTTCTTTGTAATTTTCATTGTAAAGAATTAGGTCGTCATAGACATATTGATTATTGTCAAAGTGTGGACGCATGCAAAAATGGACATCAAGGACAAGGAATAATACATTTAGGATGGTATTTAATATTTTATTTGTTTTGTTGAAAATTTTTAACATTATTTAATATAGTTAATAAAAATAATAAATTATTGATAAAATGACTAGTACCAATCAGTCCCAATCCTGATCAAAAAAAGGATTTTGTAACTCATAAATTATTTTGGGAAAGAACTGGCTTTAAAGATCCATATTCACAACAAGACCAAGCATTATTTGCAAAATGTGATCATGAATGTCCAGATGAAGATCACAAAAAGCAACAAAATCCTAATTGTCCTCCTCCAAAATCTTATTGTGAACTGGAACTTTTCCATAAACCTTTAAATCCATCATCTAGTGCATCAACTGGTATTGGTTACATTTCACTGGATGGTCATCAGTTCAGCTGTGATAATCCAAATAAAAAAGAAGCAGAATTCCATGTTATATTTGCACTTGATCGATCAGGTTCAATGAGTTATACTGATAGCAGACCTTTAGAAAACATTCGTTCAGACATCCGTCAAAAAATTGCACAAAAACACAATAATAGGATAGGCGCAGTATACTCTGCAGTAATTAATTATTTAATATTATTTAATTTTGTATTTATTAACAAAAAAAATTTTGAACTATCCTTTTTTTTAACTCATCATTAAAGGTTTATTCGTTTATGGATACACGTCTTAAATCTCAACAAAATCAAGCTCATGGTGTTGTTAATAAAGACACTATTTCTTTAATTTTATTCGATCACGAAGCTGAAGTAATTGAAAAATCTGCCATTGAATGATCCAGATGCACTTTTAGACAAAATGATGCTGCATCCTGCAAGAGGTGGGACTAACTTTGATTTGGCAATACAGAAAGCAGGATTTTTGATCGATAAACATTATGATCCAGCAAAGTAATTTAAATTCATATCAGTTATATCTGTTTGATTAATTAAAAACTTTCTGTTATAGAAAAGATTTAACTGATTTGATTTAAATACTTCAGAACAAATGTTGTTATATTTTTGTCTGATGGTCTGTGCGGAGCTCCAGATTCCCGATTAGAAACTATTTGTAAAAAGAATCAACAAAGAGGGTATGTAATGACAATAATGGTTAATATATGTGTTATACATAATAATAATTGGTTTTTTTTTTTATTATGCTAGATCACCATTATATCTTTATACAGTTTTATTTAGCAGTGATTCTTCCAGTCCATCATTAGAAAAAATGGTTACTATCGCACAAAAGTATCTTCCAGCTAATTCTTCATCGAAAGCCTTGAAATGCCAATTCACTAAAGCTATTAATGAAGTAGCTTTAGCTACTCATTTTACTGTTGTTGCAGAAAGTTTAAGTCACAAACCTTCTTTGATGAGAAAATTATAACTTTAGAATAAGATAAATTTGACGAGTGACTGATTTTATGATTTTTTTTTCGAATATTTTTAAATATGTATAAACTTTTCAATTATCAATTGTACTTGCGACCACGTAACATTTATTAATAAAAAGATATTAGTTTATTATATAATAATTTCCAAATAATATAATGAATAATGAGAATAATGAATAATAATATATATATAGAAATAAATCAATAAATACATATCATAATGCGTATTTCTTATTCCTAACCCATCAAAGATGATTTGTAAAAAAAAATTTATGTAAATGTATAAGAAATAAATAAAAAATGAACGTATATAAAAAAAAATATAATAAATATAGTAAATATATTAAAATACAAAATAGCGGTAATAATTTTCAATTGTAAATAATAATATTACTAGAGAATAATTTAATTGTCGTTAATAGCTTGATCCAAATCAATTAATATCGCGGTAGTTTTGTTGAGTAACATGCTCAGGTGAGCAACTTTACGTTCCAATTCTTGACGATGAGCTTTCAAGTATTGTTGAGAAACATTTGAATCGTTTGGTATTGGATTATTTTGATGATTATTATGATTATGATTATTATTATTACTATTATTATTATTATTACTATTATTATTATTATTATTATTATTATTATTATTATTATTACTACTATGAGGATGAGCATTGTTTAAATATACAATGTTGTTGTTGCCGCTACTACCGCTCACAACTGTAGAGATCGGTGGCAATTTAGGAGAAGTTTCAGCAGAAGGATAATTCAACAAAGCAGAAATAGAACTTTGAGGAGGTGGTGGACTTGAACCAAAACGTTGAATAGAGGACTCATTATTGTTATTGACGTTATTATTGTTATTGTTATAATGATGATGATTAGAATATATTGAGGGTAAGGGATAATTAGGTGTTCCCATAAGACGACTATTACTATTATTATTATTATTGATTTGATGAATTTGAACTTGAGGCTCATTGTTTAAACTGCTTCTTCTACTATTATCTTCAAAATTCCATGCACTCTCTAATTGATATTGAGGTTTAGAAACAATGAAATCTTCGATAGCATGCTCTCTATCATCGTAACAAGGACGTTTACTAGAATTATTAGGATCTTCGACCTTTCTTTTACGATCAAAATTATTAGAAAAACCATCAAGAGAAGTATCATCATCTTCGGAAGAATTGTAACCGGAAGCGGAAGAAGTTGAAGAAGGAGTGGGTGGGCTATTGTAAGTAAATTGATGATGAGGATGATGATGATTGTTATTACCATCATTTTTGTTAAGACAAGATGATTTATGAGTTTGATGATGATGATGTCTTCTTTCAATATTAGAAGAATTACTTTTTTGTTGTGGATGATGATGATGATGATGATGATTATAAGAATCTAAAGATTTGTTGTGAAGAGGGACACGTTTACGACGCTTGATGATTATTTTTTTCATAATTGGTGGACGATGAACATTATGAAGCTTGAAATAAAGCCCGCAAGCATTACAAATAGTGTTGCCCAGTTCATCTCTCCTCCATAAAGGTGTGGTGTTTGTACCACAGTTATTACAAATTAGTGCTTGTCGATTAACTTGGTGTTGATTGTAAGCTGGGCAGCCATCACAAGAGCTAGACCCACCCGTTCCGTCACAATGACCATCACCAGGACAAGTGCCACCACCATTATTAATATTAACATTATTGATATTGTTATTATTAATGTTATTGTTATTGTTATAATTGTTGTTGTTGTTGTTGTTGTTGTTGTTGCTGCTGCTGCTGCTGCTGCTGCTGCTGCTGTTGTTGTTGTTGTTAGAATCAATATTATTGGGATCGGTTGATTCGTTTGTTGTGGTAGATGGTTTTTTAACGGAATTACGCTTTAACCAAAGTGGACGAACAGTATTACGAGCTTTATAATAAAGACCTATTGATATTTAAAGATTGGATTAATAATTAATAAATAAAGATTAAAAATATTTTTATAAAGTAATGAATATAAATTGATTTATTTACCACAAGCGTTGCATATGGTTTCACCGCTAGGAGCTCTTCTCCACAATGGTGTTGTAGTTGTACCACAGTTAGCGCATGAAGTAGCAGAAACACCGTTAACTTCCGGCTTACGAGATGAAATTTTTTTATTGTTTGTCATACTTATTTGTAAAAAAGTACAAGTTGTGAATGTGTGTTATTAATTTGTTGCTTAATAAAAAATATTACTTATTCGAATTAGAATTGTTTTGTATTGATGTGGTTTTTATAGTTGCTTAGATGGGGTGATTTTTTTAAAAAAAATTGTTATATTGTTGAAGAAACTATTTAGCGGATGTATTATTGTAGGTGTGTTGTGATGGTGGTGGTAAGGTTGTTTGAATATTAAAGAACAAGTCAAATTTGATTTTTATAAGTAGAAAGCAAAGGTTGGGCTTTCGATATGATAGAGAGCTAGAGTACGGTTGGTAGTAGTAGGACGAGAATACTTTGATATAAATTCAAAAGTCCACTTATACATTGGACAAAACAAAAAAACGCTAAATTTTTAATTTAGCGGCACTTTTTCAAATGATTAAATTTTCAAAGTTTATAATAATAACAGTTTAATTAATTAGTTAATTATAAAAAAAAAAATTGAAAATTATTATATTTTAACGAAAAATATAATGTAATGAATTTTTATTTTTATATATAGTACTAAAAAAACAATTATGAGTGAGAAGAAAAAATCAGAAAATTTTTTTGGGGAAGCCAAAACTTTCAGTAATTTATACTTCCTTTTTTTATTACTATTATTATTGTTTATTTTATTATTTTTTATTGTTTATTATTTATTATTTATCTAATTGTTTATTACACATTTTTATTTAATAGTAAAAAATAATGTAGATGGATAAGATATTTTCAATCAATTTATTTTTAATTAAATCTAATAATATCAATCAATTATCAATTAATACAAATTAATCAGCTAAATCAATGAATGAAAAAGTAAAAAAAAAAAAAAATTGATCTCTCATATTTTCTTATCTAACATTACACAAAACTAAATAATTTTTTTGATATCAGATCTATCATCATCATAATGTTAATATGGAAACAAGTAAACATAACGCCACAAATAATTTCAGTGGTGCAGTGATGAATTTTGCAAATGCCACTAATATTGGATAATGTGGCCAAATGTTCTAGAAAAAAATTATTCGAAGTTTTTTTATATAATAATTATTTATTTATATCAAATTATAAAGCGGGTTTTCAAGAATGTGTAGACGACTCCATAACAATTTTACCTTGTGATGTGATTTTATTTGATTAATTGATTGATTGACAGTCTACCTTTAATATTAACACGAAAAAAGTTAGTGATCATCGTAAAATCTAACCAATGAGTTTGATCAATTAAAATTTGATTCGAATATTGTGCCGGGAAAAGTGGAAGACAGGCTTCTTCTACGCTTTAGGTCCTAATACTGTCTTGGACCTACTGTTCGGAATGACCTTATATGGGGTCATTTCAATAGAAAGGAATTCAACATTAAAAAACATTGTAAAATATTATATAAATCATGATATTTATTATTATAACCACGTTTCTTGGTGGATATGAGAATCTTCCACAAGTGGCTTCTGAGTTATTATTTTATTGAGTACACTTCTATTATTTACTAAAATTTCTTGTACAGGACCATCTAGCATATGCAAAACAACATTAATTATAATGGAGCATGATCTTAAAAAATTTAAAGATTCGACACGTGTGTCTTTATGTCAAATATTCTATAGACTCGTGATAAAGTTTTCCTTTTTTGTACATCAATACCCGCTTGTTTTATAAAACAAGGAACAGTAAACTCAAAAATACCATATGCTAGTAAAGAGAAAAACATATAGATCGTCAGTTATGTTAACAACAGACTCATTTACTACTGCACCAAATTTATTTTGTTTCATGTAACGAATTAGTTTCTGTCGATCACTCTATCTTTATCACAGTGTAAGAATTCATAATACCACTAAAAATCAGAATCTTCCTGTTGGGTGTCATTCAATGAATTTAACCAATTTATCATAGTTATGGACTATATTACTGTATAAATTTCCTTCTTCAGCCAAATAATAATAATAAAAAGCATTTAAAAATAAATCAAAAAGGAAATGAGAACATTTACCATCGTAAACTGATTTCTCCATTTATACTCTTAATACAGTCAGTTAAATGTTATTATGTCAACAATGAGAAAAAGTTGATTCTGGAATGACGGGATCTCTATCTATACCATATTGTTTTGGTACTGGAAAATAAAATTATTTCATAACAGATATATGTATATAAGTAAAATTCTAAACATACAACTCCTTATAGACCTCGTGAATTGCATTAATGTTTATTTTTCTTGATCGGTGTGTATTATTTTGTTTCGTTATAAATTATTTTCAATAAAAATCAAATAGTTGGATTATCAGAAGTTGTATAGATTTAATAGGTAATGTTATCTCTCTTTTGTTGATCCTTGGTGAACTGAACAACTTTCTCCGAAAGTAAAAACTCATTTCGCCCTCTGGATCATCAATGTAAGCAAGTTCCTCTTGGTCAAAGCTTTTGATAAAAAAGTTTACCAAATATATCTAAATCAATTATAGCAGATAATAGTGGGTTATTGAAAATTCTTGAGGATTTGAAGATTTAATCTTAGATTAATAAATCCTACTGCAGTCATTTCATATCCTTCCGTGTTGGTATTCTAAAAAGTTAAGAATTTTTTAAGCAATTATTCAATTTTGTAACAACGTCATCTACTTTGACAACTTTTTTCTTCCTCTTGTACTTTTCTTTGTAGATTTAGCAGAAGCAACAATGTTACGAGTAGTATTACTAGTGGAGTAGAAGTAGTGTCAGGAGTGGAACAAGTAGCAGCGTTATAAGCGGACACTAATTATAAAGTTAATTATTTAATGATTCATTTATACCCTCAGACTCGGTTTCATTGTACGATTCTTCACTATTGACTGATGATTTTTAAAACGAGCGTTTTGAAAAAAAGCATAATATTTATTTTTGTTTCTTTTAAGCCTTGCCATTTCATTGTTGTAATGATAATGAAGTCTAATACTGCCTTTGTTTCTTGAGAAACCCACATAATTAAGTATTGCATCCTTGGAGTTTCTTTCGATCCATGATAAAAAGAAGGAATTAGAATATTATTATACTGTATCATAACAAAACAAATTTATTTATTACTTTTCGTACTTGATACATCAACAATCTGGCATTGTTGATGTTGTTGAAGGTAAGGAAAAAATGTATTTTGACTCTAAATTTGCTAACTTTGCATTTTTAATCCATAATTTGTTCGTGGTGTTTGGACAATCGTAAATAAATTGAACAAATGTAAAAAGTCCAAAGGTCATGTTTTCTGAAATATTCTGATTCGTCTTCAAAACAAGTTTTCATTATGAATTTTTATGGATTGAATGCCGATTTTTTATCATTGATGATGATGATCAAGTACTACTTATTCGATTGTGGCGTTCACTTGGGTCACCATTTTGTTATATTCACTTTGGCAGCAATTTTTGTATATAAATAAAAGATACTTAATATAGTGTGTAACAATTAGTTGTAGAAGTTACATCAGTTACACCATATATCATAAGATTTTTTTGTGTAAGTATAGATAACGTTATAAAATAGAAAATAAATAAATTATTATTAACCAAATCAAGAAAAAGATCAAAATTTGGAAATTTTCCTCCGTTTAAATGAATGGGGTAAATTTGCATAAATAATATATAATAAGGTAAAATAAATAATTTTGATGAAATTGATAACTAATTTTGATGAATTTGATAAGTAGTTTTTTGATGAATTTGATAAATATGCATGCATCACGCAATACAAATCAATGAAATCAATGGTGACGCAACAGTTCAATATTTAGCAGTTAATAGAATAACCAATTGCAAGGAACACTCATACAACTCCCACAATAATCACCTTTAAACTTACTAATATCACTTTTCATTTTATCACCAAGTAGAATCAGTGAATTGAGCAATTATGAGTATAAGAAGATATTATGGATGTTATCTTGCGATCAATAATGTTAAAAATCCATCACAAATTTCAGAAAATATATTTGTAAAAGTCATTTCCTCGTTTGATTGAAGGTTGGTTGGCTAGTTAATCTTTCAAATGGTAGCCTTGGATATTTTGCTGTGAAACATCAGAGATTACTATCAGTATCATAAATAATTGTTTTATTCTAAAAGATTTTTTACAAGACTTATTATAAAGAATCTGGCAAAATCGGCTTCCTTTCCCTGATACAACATAAAAGTTAACATCGTATTTGTTTTCTTTGTAGTTCATTTCCATAAATATAAATGAAATCAAACGCTTCCTTCATTCCTGGTCAAATTTGGTAATTAGATGTTTACAATCACAATTGTATCACAAACATAAATGCTTTACAACGTCCGGAATCAACTCCGTTTCCTTTTTAGCAATCAATCCAAAGGTATAAATTCAAATCAGGGCTTTTTTTTTGTTCAGGCTTGTTTTCACTTATTCGAGAAGATATTTCTTTAGTATTTAATTCTTTTTAAATTCTCCTCATTAGTTAAATAGAAGTCAATACAGATGGTTGTTTCAATGCATTTACCAAATTCATTCATAGTATTATTAGTAATAATTAAATTCGCGTAATTTTTATTTAGAATCAGTTTCTTGTATAACCTTTAGATCAGATTTCCAGATTTTTCTTTCGTCAGAGCTGATGTGTTGTCAGCCGCCTTTTGAGTTTTCCAATTAATCTTCAATCATCATCTGTCTCGATTCATATTCTGAGATCAACGAGATTCTGATATTTCAAAAGCTAGAGACTTAACACCCTCCAGTATAATAATTTTGCGTTTACTACTGTCTCTAACAAATTTTTTTAATAATCTAATTATATAAATTCTTCTCTTTCGGTCTAACCAACTATTCCATCATTAGCACAATAGGGATGTGGAAGGTTTCTAAAGTGATATTTAGTGAGTTGATCAATACCAAGTGAAGCTGAAATCTCTTCTTTTGTTGAAAGCGATACATCATCTTTTGTGCAAGTGTATTTTTTCCTGCACCTGATCCACCACCGATTAATATTGACGTTGGTTGTTTATTCTTTGTTAGTCATGATTAATGTTGTCGCCAAACTTATTTTGAAGAGACGAAAGTCAAAACTAAAATTTAAAGTTATATGTCGAAACTAAATCAAAAATCAAACGTCAAACTAGCTTCACACAATTGCGAAACTCTATAATAATAATAATAATAATAAATCAACAGTAGTCAGTATATACTCGTTATAACGAACCTTATTATAACGGATATAACATTACACGAATTTTAACGCTCAATTAACAAAATTTACAATGATGCATAGGATTATTTATATTTATATAAAAATATGAATATGAAACTAATGTATATAAAATCCGCCACGGAACCCAAGAACAACAAGTGAAAAAAATGCACCCATGTTTTAAAATAAATGATACCAAACTAGGAATATTTAGATAAAGAATCACTTATGAGATAAGAAAAAATTATTAATAGGCATTTACACATTTTGATTTGCATCATTTTACTTGAATATGTTTCAGTTCATCGATCTCAATTTGAACGACCCGAATCATAAAGGTTTATTTACGGCTGATGAGTGGGACGAGACCAGTAAATTGATACCTAATTTTGATGATGGATTTATCATGTCTTACATTACGGTTTGTGTTTGCTATTACTTGATATTAAGTAAGCAAAAGTATTTTTGTACAACCTAACATGAATGTCAAAATAGTAACCTAATAACGTTGAATATAATATTTATGATAATGGATGTTATTTAGTACTTGTGTTTCTTTAGATATTTGATAACATTTTTAATGTGAATTTTTTTTACAGTATGCCACTTTAGGAAATGTCACCAATGTATTGTTTGGTTTGTTTGGTTACAAATATAGTTGATAGATTATTTTAATATATAATATTTCTAATTTACAAATTATATATTAGGCGAGTTAAACTAATCATCGATGTTGACTTTAAGCAAATTTCATTTATGTTTAGTATCTGTTCGGTATTTCATCTTCTGATAGACGCAATTAGGAACGAGCTCGAATAGATGTTACGATTATTCATCGTACACTAAGCCTTGAATTAATAGTCATGAAAGCATCAAAGGCTGATTAATTGGAATTTACCGTGAAACTCATATGGAATGATTTAAAAAAAGCATGTCTATACACAATGCAACCAGAGCCAAAGCGGACATTTTAATAGAAAATTCATACATGTCATTATGTGTAATATTATATTTTGTTTTTGCCAAGGTTTGTTCGTGTATTCATATGTTAATGAATCATGCGCTGAAAAGGACAATCAAGCACATCAAACCAAATCATACACAATATGGATGTATTCGGATTATTGCTATCTAGCAAGTGAAAATATATCTGTGATTGTTTTAAAAGTTCCAAAAGAAGTCATTGATTTTGTCAAATGAATTCAAATATTTGTGCCATGTACCAACAACAATGACATATGATGGTATTTATAATCTTATTGAAATTGTAATTTAAACCGGTTTTCTGTAATTTCTAATTTAGTATTTATATATTAATATCATTGTTTGCTCGGGTCTGACCGCCAATAATACAAATTGTACACCAAAAAACACATACTGCGTAATGAAATTTTTTTAATTGCATAACTTTGTATAGTAATTTGGTATCAGCCATTAATATTAAGATAAAATGTTTGTTTCGATCAAATACAAAATTCGTATTGTAACAACAGTGGACTATAATTAAATTCTTGTCATAACGGGTTATAAAATTTTTGCCTCACATATTAATATAGAAACATATAAAAAACCATTGTAATTTGCCACAATATGAAAATTTTTAATGAAATTCACGTGATTTGTGACTCCTAGTTCATCAACATTAAGATCTCGATATTTTTGTATTTTAAAGTCTCTTGAATTCTTGATTGATTATTTGATATTTCAAGAGACATTTAATTGGTGATCCATCTGTGAGTCGGTGAACCAGCTGCGGAAAAACTAATCTTTACACAAAAAAAAAAATCATATAATTTTTTATCCGCACATTCAAAAGAAAAAATTATGTGGTAGGTCAAAATTAAAATACAACTTTTCATATTTGATTCGTTGTTTTTGTGTCATGAAATATGCGATCATTTCATCCAATTTTTTATAATTGCATTTTTTATATCCTATTTATTATCTATCATGAAGTTGGTTGAAATTCTATACAGGTTTTGTAGATCGTTCCTTTCAGAATCATTAATATTATTAAAATCATTTCAATAAGTAGGTGGGTTCTCTAGCAAAACCGGTTCCGAGGTCCTCTGACCAAATTTAAGTTTTTTATATAATAATAACAATAATAATAATATTAATATTAAAATTATAAGATGAAAATATTGATCCTGTTTACTTGATACAGTAATGAAATATAAGACTTGAAATACTACTCTGCAGATATCGTCACTCAAAAGGCCAAGTATTATTTATTATTATTATTATTATTATTACTTGCATTAAAAGTTTCTAGCAACTTCGGGTCCTCGCTTGAAAAAAAGCAGGGAAAAACAAAAACTCCGTAAGATCATCAGCTTTTTAAAATAAAATAATCCTTAATTGACGATCCATCTATTACTATGAATGAACTCTAAATAGGGATCAGCGGTGGAAAACGTCACAATTTTACTAATTGATGACTTTGTATAAAAAAATAGTACTATACTTTAGTAGTAGTAGTATTGTTTTTTATTTTTCGTTATGAATCAAATGTCAACGAACATATCTATGCTTTTTTTTTTTTAAAGAACATCTTGAAGATGTATGTAGAAGATATATATTTTACGTGTGTAACCTATTAAAATAAAATTGATAAGTCGGACGCAGCAATCAATTGTTTAAAGTACTTTATAATATAAATAAATGTCCGACTTATCGAGTTTAGATGTGTAATTAGAATAAGATCGTTTTTAAAAATTAATTTTAAAATTTATCACGTGGCTTATGTTTTTGCAATATATAGTAAAATTGAACAAAAACAAAAACGTGTTTTTGTTTTTTTTATATATTAACGAGTGCATGTACTTTGGTAAAAGGCAACAGTGTAGCGTTTAATTTTGGGCAACTAGTGAGTGTTAACAACGATATTCGCTTTAGAAAAGTGTTGTCCCAAGATTAATTTGTTATCGCAGACGTAAGGTTGAAATATTCACATAATAAAAGGTGCTGTTTCGAATGTGGATCTTCTAAACATCTATATCAAAATATTGTACTCATAATATAAAAACTCACAAGAAACGGCATTTTGTATGAGGATACTACTAATTATTGCAAATAATAATATTTTTTTATTATATAGTAAGAATAAGTATATATAATAATAAGAATATTTTTTTATATATATAAATATATTATAATAATTATTATTCGTATATTAAATGCTATATGCTAAATATGCTAAATTCGATAATAATAAAATTTTAATTTCTCCTAATAAGTTTTTTTTTAATTTGATTTTTTAAAAAAAAAAATTTAAAGCAAATTTATCTTATTTATGATGTACGCACGCACTATCTAGACCTGTAGGAGATTCGATAGGAATAGTGGTACCATCATTATCTAAATCATTATCTAAATTATAATTCAATCTCTTTAACTCAGCCTCAAATTCAACTTTTCCTTTTCAACCAGTTTTCTTCGTCGTTATCTAAATTGCAACCTGCTCTAACCTCAAATTCAATTGCCCTTCTTAACCAACTTTCGTCATCATCGTTAGCTTGGTCATGGGAAGTCTGTTGATTATTCACTTGAAGTTCATTATTATTTTCGGATTTAGGATTTGGAATATGTTGGTGCCATCACTATCGTCATCAATTGATTGATCAAATAGTATCTGATTATTGTTTCAATTTTAAATATTTTCAACTTTGTAAAGTTCAAAATATGCAGATCGATTGTTATTAGTACCATTATTATCGCCATTAACTGGTTGACAAAATAGTATCTGATGATGAAATTTTTTGATTATTGTTTCAATTTTAATATTTTCAACATTGCAAAGTTCATTATTATTGGAGCCAATATTGGCCATATCAATGTTGCCACGGGTCTCTTGTGATGTTATTGCGTTCGTAACACCATCATTGTTGTATAAATCGCCATCGCTTGAACCTAGTTCATATTCAAAATTAGCAGCTTCACGATGATCGTCAGTTTCGTTTTTGATAGAGTCAATGTTGTTTTCAATAATAGATTTATTAATATCATCAGTGTCTGGTACTAATTCCGATTCAAAGTTGAAGTTGTTGAGATTGGTTGGAAGGTTTGTCCTGTAGCGTCATCTGTGATGTTTAAATATATCGGCGTGCTTGAAATATCATTGCCGAACACAATAATGCTGTCAACTTCCTTTTTTGGATTGTTACTAACAACTTATTCGACGTGTGAGCTAGTGTTGGTTTCCAAAACTAGAGTTTTGCAACTGTGCAAAAGTCAAAAGGTTGCGCCATAAGTCAAAACTGGTTTTGATTTTTGACTATTGATTTTTGATTTAGTTTTGACATATAACTTTTTAATTTTAGTTTTGATTTTCGTCTCTTCAAAATAGTTTTGGCGACCAATACTAATGTGAGCCTACATCATTATTTGTTGTTTCAATTATAAAATAAACAGCAACAGCAGGCTCAAGAACGGTAATTTTGTCAGTGTTATTTGTGCCAACATCGTGTGGAACATTTTAATATCTTATCTACATTTACGCCAACAATTTTTTTCTTTTCCACGTTTGGAAGCATCAGAATGTAAGCAGAAATAGGTAATAAAAACATTGGCGATATTGCCATTAAATATTGAAACAAAATAATTGTTTTAAATATAAATACTGTCAACTTTAACAGAAAGGCAATCTCGTATAGAACAGGATTGGCAAATGTGTAGTCCATTGGATCCATTAATGTAACATATTTAATATTCTATTAATGGCAATGGATCAGGCAATTTGCCAACCCTGGTGCAGAAAGATTATTTGTTTGATAGCTGATATAATTATTTGTATATAATAATAATGATATTTTTGTTTGTTTTTGAGAGAAAGAATTACAAGTTTTTTTATTACGAGAAATTTTTTGAGAAAAAGAGGTTTCCATAGGGGTTTTTATAAGAAAAGTCTTGATGGGAAGTTTTTTTGGTTTTTTTTTTCTGAGAAAAAAAATTTTTTAGACAAACAAATTTAACATATGCAAAACCACGAGAATAAAAAATGTAGTGAGTGACGTAACTTTATGCGATTGATGTAGATATTTTTGATGTTGTCGTAATTTTTTGTTAATTTACCACAAATACAAGGGTCATATTGATCAATTATCGTTTGATCTGGTAATTAGTATTAATATATTAGGTATATATTAGGTTAGAACAAAGCAAAAACCGTGAGAACAAAGCACATATATTTAAAACCTTGTGATGTGGTGGCGTTAGCAACTAACTTGATACTATGAAGTATATAGTCGTTTTCATAAATATAAGAGGTTTATTTTTTTTTCCTCGATTATCATTATTGTTCATGTTCATCTTGCTTTGTATCCTTCGTTGTACGATGACAATTTTTTTTATTTTTGTATAACAATTGAAGAAAAATCTGCGTGTTTTTAAAAGGAGAGTAAAACTATATACCGTATATTTCCGAAAATAAGCAACGTTCGTGAATATGAAACCTCTCTCTTCAATCCCAAAAGTAATGAATTCATGAATACATCTTTTTAGATTAAAAAATTACTAAAATTTTTTTATGCAACTTTACTGTTAAATTCAATTATTACTGTTTGTTTGTTATCTGTTGAATAAAAATTAGATTGATTGATATTGATGGGATAATTGAAAAAAGTTATGATTTGCATAATATAAATAAATTCAGTATTTTTCTGGTGGGTATCATCATACTGATATAAACAAATTAATATTAGCTGTGGTTTTTCATCAAATATGACGAAATCATAGGGATGGGAAAAAATAAATTTCATGCGCATGATCATGCAGTGCGACTTTTTTTCAGGAAAAATTGTTTATATAAAAAATAATTACATCATAAAAAAACAATGTTTTCAATATAATTGATTATCTAATCACTTTCATTATTACTACCACCATCATTATTGTTGTCATCATTTATAAATCTTGATTCTAAAATGATTGATAAATCATGTGCAGGTACATCTTTATTTACATTTTTTAAAATGTGCTCAACTTTTCAAAATGATTTTATTATATAATAATAATATAAATTTACAGTTTTTCTATTGACAGTGTTGGAAAATTCAGTGTGGGAATGTGGAGTGAAACGTTATATTCCAATCAAATTTTAATTTATACTATATAAAATTACATGACAAAATAATTTCCCGCCTTGTAAAGTATTTCATCAATCGTTCTTAATCACACACAACCACAACTTTTTTTTCATATTCATTAGAACCATTATCCCTTAAACGGTTAATCGGCTATTGATAGCCGATAAAATTTTTCTGATATAAAAAATTTTTTCTGAGGGCATCACTTTCTAATACGAAAATGATCTTTGAGATTCAGCCGATTAATCTATAAATAAAAATCCTGTGATTTTGTAAAATCCTCTTTTACTTTGCTGATCGTTAAATTGACCAATAAGAATGATCAAAATTTTAATTTGTGTTACCATTAAAGAATACTCTGACCGTTCAAGAGATAATTATCATTTTTCATATACCTATATACCCTATATATACATTATAAATTAATTAATTCTAAAGTAAGATATTGTTGATATTTTTTATTGAACCACAATATTTAATAATCTCAAACATATTTTTGATGACTCTGGTCTTGTGGGCTCTTGTTAAATCGGCAGTTTTTATTTGATTTGTATATCACTAGTCCTGCTAGTATTTTAATAAAGTCCATCTTTCTGGATCTCAACTAGACTTCTCGTTAGCCTCTCTAAATATTTTATTAAGTGAAAAAGAATTATTAGAACGGATTATTTGTGAAGAAACAATTTGATGTTAATTTTTGTCCCTATTCTTATAAGCGAGGCTTTGAATATTAAATAACTAATTAACAAGTTGGTTAATAATAAAAATAATATAACAATAATAAATAGCACTCCCAAGAATCACTATTGCATTCATACCTCAATGTCCACTTCAAATTATATCTCTGGCAATTGGGAAACGTTTTCTCGATATTTTGATGATTTTAATTTGATCTTCGAATTTTGAATATCAAATATTCCCATCTGTATGCTAACCTCTTTATCATCGTCTATCTCACAATGACGATGTTTGATGATTTTATGGCTGTTTTTCTATAGAAAGTTTTTTGAATATTGTTGGAATTGACGAGTGAATATTATTCCTGCTACAAGGGAATCAGGATTAGCGTATCTTCAGATGTCGCAGGTTACATTTTTGGTAATTGTGGGAATTGTGAAAGGTTATATATATATATACAATCGCAAATTACCAAATAATTGCTTCATCTCAACTTGAAATCAGCTTCAATTACCCACCCAGCCCATCCGGTTGATAAAGGATCTCGTTTAAAAATTTTCGGTTTGATATTAAGGAGAAATGGTTACGATTTTGTACCCGCCGTGCTTTATTTTTACCTTTGGGTGAAAAGATGTATAATTTTATTGATGTATGATGAACTGGTTACGACTGATGCTTCCTCTGCGAGTGCGGGTTTTGCATCTTTGGGATATTTGGGACACATATTAATATATAACTTGTATTGTGATCGTTCAATTAATTATGAAATAAATGTTTGCTTTTTTCATTCAACATCCAATTATGTTGATCAATCTAAATTGTTAAATGGCCCTATTACTATGAAGAACAAACTAGTTCGAATTTATGAAAGGATTCTAATAATTGAGAAGAAATCAAGATTTTAATACAAACTCATGTAAAAATATTTTTTGTCATGTGTATTAACCAAAAAGGTGTGTTCAGTTACTTTTCCTAGATAGTGTAGCATACACATCAAGGTTTGGTATTCTTTCTCTGGATATTCATCCAGCAGTCTTGATTACTTCGATTTCCTTCTTTGTTTTTCTATCTTAAACGATCTGTATAGTTGATGTTGTTGTTATTCAATATATGATTTTTTATAATTTGTATGTGCCTTAAATTAGTAAAGGTCTGATTAAATAAATAAACAAGTTACATCACCAAAGTATTATATACTAAAACTATGTAGATAGATTAACCAATCCTGAAAGGAAAATCAAGGAAAAATAAGATTAAAAAGAAAATAACAATTAAATAAAATTACAAGTGAAACCATAGAGTTCTTAAAAAAAATCACCCGGAAAGTCATTAAATCCAATAGATTGAGCTTAGATGTCGGCCAGATTCAATGAAGCTAACCTTATTCCTTCTATGCAAGATCTTGACTGAATTATGCACATAGTTGAGTCTTCAATAGGTCTTTCAAACCCCCCATATGCCCTCATCTTTAATTTCATCACTACATAACTAGTAAGTTCGATTCAATCTTTCTTGTGAGAAAGGAAGATTAGAACAATTGTAAAATTTACGTTTATAGTGGATCTTTAACCCTTTCTAGTACAAGAACTTGCTTTTCATGAGCTTGGTGCTATTGTAGCCTTTCTAAATTATTAATCATATACATTATATAATAATAATTTCGCTTTATTAATTGATTTATTATCCTCCATACTCCAACATCAACTTTTTACGTGTTTTGTCCATCTTTCCTGGTAATTAATTGATTGATGATGATAGTTCGTCAGTAAAATACAATTAATTATTTTACAATAATAATAAGTTTTAACAACAACATTTGAATAAATACTTAAGACAATTTTTTAAAAAATCAAGCGGTGGATTTCTTTCTCAAAAATTGAATCATTATTATTAATATTAGCAATATTTATTTGTAACTATTATTATAGTAATAGTGATAAATAATTGGTCCCATAATTCCGTAATAAAAATCCTGGAAGAAATGTTTACAATATATATTAATTGTAAAATCATATTGGTAGCGATAGGTTTTAATTAAAAATTAATAAATAATAGCTTAGATTTAATTCTTGTTACATGATTTTATTGTAGTTCAGTAGTAGAAGAGTCGGTTACGTCAAATTCCATATTTGAAAAACTTCATAAAAAAACTTAATATTTACAACAAATTTTTCTGCAACTTGTCATTTAAATGACTGAACAAGAATTAAATAATTGCCCTTCACCTGATTACTATGGTCCATCAGAAGATAACACAGTAGCAATAATACTGAAATTGATTGTGAAATAGTTGGATCTAACGAAAATAATTGTACCCAGGCTGAACTGAAAAACGTACACGTGGAAGAAGACCAAAGTTGCTACTAATTACTATTATACAGTAGCCGAGATTATTTACGGCACAGAAATTACTATTATTATTAATACCATTTAGAAATTATTATTATTTTGTCGGAGCCAACCGTGTTTAATATTAACATTAAAAAGGAGTCCATAGTTTTTTTGTGTCTTACCTCACGACAAAATTGGTAATGATTTTCGTTAGTTAAACTTTTTTAATTCTCGATTTTTCAAGTGTATAAATGATAATAAAATTTCAAATTTCAAATGCTAAGGCTCAGCCAAATTTTTAATTTAAGAAAAAACTAGTCTATAAGTTTTGAAACTTGAACCATGAAGATATGTTTTTTGAAGCTGACTATAAGCAATTATATAGATTATCTACACCGTATGACAATTACCGCAGCGATTTTTGAGTTCGTTTTTTCAAAAAAATTTCTTTAATTATGTAATTGATATAAAAACAAAGGAGCAGTAATATAATAATAATAATTACAAATTTGGAAAAAATCGACATAATTAATAATCACCTGATACATTATGTCTATCATAATCCGCATTCTGATAATATGATTGGTTATATAATAATGGTCACAATTTACGTAAATAAGGAATTTTCCTGACTGGTATCACGTAAGAAAAAAAAAAAGTTAAAGAAAAGTTCCTTCTTTCTCTTTTATTCTTCCACAAAAAAAGATAAAAAAATAAATTTTACTTCCTCAATAAAGAAGATAAAGAAGAATAATTAGTGATTATTTTTAATAAATAAATAATATATATATAATTATTAGTTTATTTTATTAGCAAACAGTTTGTTAAATATAGATATATGTGTGTGCGTAAGTGAGAAAAAGTAAATAGTAATAATGTCTCAAAAAACTTATCTTACACAACAAAAGTTTAGTAAAACTTTTCTCTATCCTAATCCCACAAATTTATATCAATATTATTGCAATGCATTTGCTTATAGTGAGCTTATCAATACATATCAAGAAACCAAGCCAGCTAAACAAAAAATCATGGAAGACGCAAACCGTAATTGGACTAATATAAAAGTTTTGGATAAAACAAAAATTTATGAAGAAATTAATCGACTTTCTAATACACCAATATCTGATACGACTTTCAAGTCTTTTATTGCAAATCAATCATCACAATCCCCGCAACAACAATTACTACAACAGCAGCAACAAAGTAACAATAATAATAACGATTTAGTCAACTTGGCTGATTCAACACCTCAACAACATAAGATTGATTCGCAACAATCGCCATCTACACCTTCATCATCTACATCTAATTTTTCCCTTGTAGGCATGTCACCTGATCAACTTAAATTGTTTACACCAGGTGGAACCTCAAAAAATGCTGCTGCTCAACGTCAAGCTATTTTGGACATAGAATTAGCACAAAAAAAAGTTTCTGAATTTAGACAATTGATCACCATGACCACTGATGAAGAACTGGCAAAAGACCTATATACAAAGATTCAGCACGCTGAAAATAATATAATTGAAAATCAAAGAAGATTAAAAAGATTAAAAAGTGGTGCAGAGGCTCAAGAAAGATTCAGGCAAAAAAGACAAAAGCGATTATCAGATTCACCTGGCAGTGTTAGATCTGGTGCTGAATCAATTGAATTGAATAATGGGGATGGAAGTTCAATGTTTCAAGAGTCTACTGCAAGTATCGGTAAATATAAATTCATTAATCAATTAATCGATTGATTATTACAAGCATTATATATTTATATATTTATATTGAATTTTTGATATAATTGTTCAACCAGATTTAGGATATGCTTCTACAATAGAATCTGTTATTGATGAAATAAGTGAAGAGTTACGCACAATAAGTCTTGGTGTATTTATTAAATTTTAATAATATATAAATCAAATCAAAAATCTATATAAATTTTGTATCAACAACTAAATAAAATATTTGATCAATAGATTCACGAAAAACCTGAACTTGCGTATCAAGAAAAATTTGCACATGATACTTTGACAGATTATCTCGAGTCCAAAGGTTTTAGAGTGGTTCGTCAAGCATATGGATTAGAAACTGCTTTTCATGCTGAATATACATCACCAATAGGCCCTGGGAGAATTGTTGCAATCAATTCAGAGTTAGTTATTCAAAAGATAACGCTGTTATTAATTAGCGTTAATATTGTAATGAAAAAAAGATTATGACTAATATATATTTCTTATTAATATATAGATACGACGCACTTCCTGGTATTGGACATGGATGTGGTCATAGTAAGTTAAGAACGATTTTTTAATAATAATATTCAATTAAAATTTTTTGTTTTTTTTTTTTTATTCATTTATCACTGAAAATTTTTTATTTTTTTTTGATAGATTTAATTGCGATATCCGGAGTTGCAGCCGCAATTGGTATTGTTATTGTTGTTGGTTTATGTCTTTTTTTTTAATGCATTTTTTAAAAAATTTTTTTTTTGATTATTTGATAGGTGTTATGACGGTTATGAAGATGTTTCATGTACCTGGAAAAATCATACTATTGGGAACACCAGCAGAAGGTTTTTATAATAAATGATTTTTATTTGATTATCTCTTTATAAAATAATAATTTATAATTTATAATTTAATAGAACTTCAAGCTGGAAAGATTAAATTGATTCAAGCTGGTGCATATAAGGGTATTGATGCTAGTTTAATGGTACATCCTGCGTAAGTTTCCTTTATTATTTAAAAAAAACAAAAACAAAAATAAATAAATCTCATTCATAATCAATAATAGTACATTTATAAATGTTTCTCTTTTAATATAATGATGATAATGATAGCCATGCTGACGCAATTTATGGAAATTATTTGGCATCTGCATCTGTGAATGTTGAATATTTTGGCAAAGGTGCACATGCTGCTGGTATATAATACAATTTTTTTATGTAATGATAATATAATATATATAAGAATCTTTTTAATTATAATAATATTTTTTTTTTATTTTTTTTTTTTTTTTTCTTTTAAAAATTTTTTTTTTATTAAATAAAAAAATTTTTTTTTTTGTGTTTTTTTTTTTTTTTTTTTTTTTATTTTTTCTATTTTTTTTATTTGTTTTTTTACCTTTGTTCAA